GGCGGTGGGACTCACTAACATGGAAGGTTTCCGAGTTATGGCGGGCTGGAAGGACGCAAAGCGCCTCGATAATGCATTGAAGCGGTTGTTGGGCGGGGACAACGGAATGAAGGGCTTCGAGTTGATGTTTTTGAGCATGGCCATCGAGGCATTGGCAGAGTAGCTATTGAGTTTAGCCAATTATACGATACAAATATATGTTCCTATAAAAAGAGTCTATCGATAGAAACAAATACATTATCTGAGTTGTCTGAAGAAGAGTTGCAGTCTGTTGCTTGTAAGCGATATTCTCCGTCTCAGTCGCAGCTCGGTTTTCCACGATGTCGCTCCGCATCTGGCCTCGTCTCGTCTGAAGAGGTATTGGTGTGGAGCAATCTGTGATTCGTTGTTCACCTTAGCCTGGCAGCCCGCTGCTTTTTAGTGATATTCTCTCGGTGTCTAGAATAGTTAGGAATTTGCACGCTTGGATGCTTTTGACGGAGTCAGACGGACAAGGCTCGGTAATTTTGGCCAGTGAGCTTGGCCCTTTCGCGGTCTGCTACGTTCGCTAGCAGTGCGCTCTGATCGTCGACTGCATATGCTGAGTGCACGAAAAGGTTAGAGATAGGAACCCACCGAGCCATCCTCTCCCGTGTCCTCTGCCGAACAAGTTCAGGATTCCTTTTCGACATTAAGTTGAAGCGGAGATGTTTGTTGCCCTACGCACCTGGTTCTGTACCTGGCGCTAGCTCGACGGCGAGCCAGAATCGTCGAAAGAGGACGCGGGATGGAAGTTTTGGAGGGCATGAGTCAGCGTATGTTTGATCGCTGTTATAGCTGTGGATCACAGAGACGAGCAACGTCGTTGGTTCGTTGGTGCAATGACCAGAGCCAGAGACTGGCTGCTGTCACCTCCAGCTGATTGGCTGCCAGGACTTCCACGGTTGTCGCTACTGTTGCAACAGCTGACTTTGTCAAGGCTGTGGGAGCTGCCAGACCGTGGGTGCTGTCAGGGCTTTCACGGTTGTCGCCGTTGCTACAGCTGACTTTGTCAAGGCCGTGGGAGCTGCCAGACTGTGGGTGCTGTCAGGTTGGAGCTGCTATGGGTGCCGTCACGGTTAGCCGGTCGCTGTTGCAACAGCTGACTTGGACGGTGTGGGAGCTGCCATACAGTGGGTGCTGTCAGGGTTTTCACTGTTGCAACAGCTGACTTGGTGGACGGTGTGGGAGCTGCCAGACAGTGGGTGCTGCCACGGCCCAAAAGCGACTTAAGGTTGCTCAGAGGTACATGGTCACACTGTAACATGGTCACAGATTCGATCTTTCGATTCGATTCTGTTACCACCTCTTGCATTCGTTACACAATGAGTGGCTAGCCGTTGTACCGGCAGCCGTAGCGAGGTTGACTCTGGCGAGGTTGACTCAGCTAGACGGTGGTCGCAAATAGATACCGGCGGTGGCCAGCCGTTCTACCGGCAGCTTTGGCGAGGTTTACCGGCGACCGTCCCTAGTTGGTCGTTGGTTTCCCGCAACTACTTTGTGTTCTGACTGTTAGTTCGCGTCTGTTTCGGTCAGCCGTTCTACCGGCAGCCGTGGCGAGGTTCTTGATCAACGTTTGCTCTTATTCTTTACGACGTGCTTTCCTGGCGACCGTCCCTAGCTACTGCGCAAATACATACCGAGAAGTAGTCGTAGGGCTCAAGGATTGATTCGCTTTTCACAACAAGCGGCAGCCAGTTGGTCATCTTGACGACGATTGCATTATTTGCAGATGTTTGTTGATGTTTGCTAGTGGCAGGTGCCAGAAATCGGCATCTTGCAAAAAACAACAACCTTGCTTGCTTCTTCCAGTCCTTGTCTGCGCGAGCGGTATGCCAACAACTTGCTCACGAGAGTATCCTAACCTGCTTGTTAGATGACCGTCACAAAGACGAATAATAAGTTTAAGCGCATGAACAAGAAAGACCGCAAAAACAAGAAATTTTGGGCGGAGGGCGTCCGAGCGCGTATTCTACAACCTCACGTTCAGCGCTATGCGCTGGCACTGTCACTAGACTGGAGGAAAAATCGCGACTTCATTCAGCAAGTCTGCAACGAGTATCACGCCCGCATCCACTGGCGGCTGGAGGACCACGAAGAGCCTGACCTTCCGGATCCCTTACCGCCTTTCAATCCTCTTGCTCCACATCCTGTCGAGAAATTGTCAACCGAAGACACCCAGTTAATGCAGGAGAAGATTAAATCTGACAACAAGGTTTTGCCGCGTCGTTCTATCAGCTTGTCCAGTCTAGTTGATGCTGTTGTATAGCGTATCTCGCGGTATCTAAAATACCACGCGAGGAATCTCCGTGGCAAATACTCACATCCCGACATTGATAGCCCTTATACCCGGCTCTTTTACAAGATGGACTGCGCCCCGAAACCAGCGAAAGCGCTCAGCTGCTCAGCAATACATGCACGAAAACAAAGAAGAGTTGCGGCCCAAATATGAAGAAGAGAAAGCCAAAGAAGAGGCGGCAACTGGCCGTAAGGTGACCATCGACGCGCCGTTTCGAGCGAAAGTGGTGAAACCCATTCTTGCCGAAATGGTTGAAGAAGCAATACAAGCATTGAAGGATCGAGCCCAGGCAGACGTCGCAGAGAAGAAAAAAGAATTCGCCAAGTTTAAGAAGGACGGAGTGCCCACGACGCCCGAGTTCGCGAGCGGTGAGCCTTTCATACGTGCGAGTCTATTAGTTCTAATGAAGGACAGGTGTATTGAGGAATTCCAAAACTTCTTTTGGGGGATTGCTATGCGACTTGCCGAGTTCACTGGATGTCATGTCTTTTGCATGATCGGTGGACCCAGGCCCTCGCTCGGGGGCCGTATATGGACGAAGTCGTGAGTTGTGTGATCGGTCTGATAAAATTATGACTGATTATACCAGGACCTACCCGGTGCGAACCAGGCACCTTCCCCAGTGCCGTGGCCTGCTTGGGACAAGGAGCGATTCCAAAAAATGATCGACTTTTGGATGGAGTATCTGGAGACAGCCTTCAGTGAGTTTGGCTTCATCGTGGTTGAGTTAGTGTTAAAATTGTAATGCAGCTGAAGAGCAAAAGGCCGATGCCGCTCTGCCGAAGAAGACAGACGGATTAGATGGGTTGATCTCTATGAATGACGAAACCCAGCATGTCGACTTCCTCCAAGTTACCGAGTCGGACTTGGACGGGTCCGACAGCGACAGCGACGGTAGCAGCAGCGATGATGAGGGCAGCGTTGACAGTGGTGATGACGAAGTCACGTCCAGCCTTCGTAAAAAGCGTGATGTCAAGGCAAAGGAGAAGGGGAAGGGGAAGGAGAAGGCAAAGGAGGGGAAGGGGAAGGAGAAGGCAAAGGAGAAGGCAAAGGAGAAGGCTCAAGAGAAGCCAACACCCTCGACAAAAGCCAAAGCTTCAACCTCGAGGAAGGCGCCAACTGTCAAGAAAGCCAACAAAAGCGCGGCATCGCTGGGCGAGGCCCAGGTCAAATCAGCCACTACTTCCAAGAAAAGGAAACGACAGCAGTCAGGTAGTGATATCGAGACCTCTGAAGGTTCAGACATCGAGTCGTCGCAATCGTTGGCTGCTAATAGAGCTCGGAGGGAGAAGAAAAAGGGGAAATCTATGATGCCGGATTCGCAACCGCCTCCAATTCCTCCCGTTGTTGTTCCTCCTCCTATTGGCATGCAACCGCCGCCTCCAATTCCTCCTGTCGGCTCGCAACCGCCTCCAATTCCTCCCGTTGTTGTTCCTCCTCCTATTGGCATGCAACCGCCGCCTCCAAGTCCTCCTGTCGGCTCGCAACCGCCCCCAATTCCTCCCGTTGTTGTTCCTCCTCCTATTGGCATGCAACCGCCGCCTCCAATTCCTCCTGTCGGCTCGCAACCGCATCCTCCCGTTGGAAATCAACCTCTTCCCCCAACTGATGCGCCGGCATGGTTCCACGATCTACACAACGAGTTGATTAGGATGGAAGCGGGCCCGCAATATCACCACATGTTGCGACTGCTGGGGCAACTAGAAAGGGCCTATGGCTGGATAGACAAACAAGCATCACTGTCTAATGTTGATCGACCTAGCCAGGTTGCGGCTTGGTTCAAACGAGCTCGGAAGTGGACGGCGGCCAACGATGACATTCGTATTAAGGATGTGGCTGCTTTTGCGACCCAATGGCGGCGTGGTGGACTCGACGCCAGCCCACCTGGCGCAAGGGACCCGCCGGAGAACTTTTTGCGGGTGGCATCGGATGGTCGAAGTTGGGGGAGATCTTGCGTTGCCAGGCAAGAGCGGAATGTCAGTCATCGTTGCAACCCTTGGGTGGTGGGGACATGAGCTTAGTTTAGCTAAGCTGCCCTTGTCGGTTGTGGGAGGAGGCAACTGCGGAGGTGACCTGGGTGCTGGAAAATCTTGTCAAAGATGCTCCAACAGAGATTATCCGACTCCGTGCTGACTGGCAGCAGCAGGAAGCTAATGGACAAGGCAAGAAGGGAAAACGTAAACTGTAGTGTAGTCAGGGTTGTGTAAATAGTGAGAATGTCGAGTCAAGTTGTGAAAGAATTCGTCAAACTTGTTTTTTTTACTGGGACTGATTTAAATTGTTTCTGCTCTGTCGTAAACTGTAGTTGTGTGTAAATAGTAAGAATGTCGAGTTTGTTTGTTTTGAAAGAATTCGTCATGTTTTACTGGGACTGATTTAAATTGTTTCTGCTCTGTCGAATTCGCGATTCAAATCAAAGGTAGTCAATTTTTTAGACGAAGAATAAGAATGATCATGGCAGTCGTTGGGCATGCTCGACTATTGTTTGTAACATCAGAAGTGACCTAAAGGGTAAGAGATTGGGACCAACAAACACAATTTGATTAACTGTGATCGCCTGACTGGCACCCGTGGTCCGTGTGATTGCGCTGGTGACGGAGTGATATATCACCTATTTGGCAGCTGCCAGAGCCTGGCTGCTCGCAGAAGCTTTGTAATTGAATGGCCTGACAGCTGCCGGGTCATGTTTGATATATATTACAGCTATGGCTCTTATTTTACCAACATCAATGTCCGCGAGCAGGCCCAGACTGCTGTCGATATAGTCAACGAACTCTGGCCGCAATACGAACACATTTTTGTGTATGACAACGCGACAACCCATCGCAAACGTCCCGATGATGCCCTCAGTGCCTTGAAGATGCCCAAAGCGCCGTCCGGCTCCAGCGCTCGCCATCCCGACGCCAATATCGTGGGTAAGCGCAAGAAGCGTGATGTCGATGGAAAGCTGGTCTATAATTCCGAGGGAAAAGTCATTCTCGAGGACGTTCCCATGATCGGAGCAAAGCTGCCAAGCGGTGAGCCTCAAGACCTGTATTTCCCTGTGGGACACGCAAAAGCAGGCAAATTCAAGGGCATGCAAATTGTCTTGGAGGAGAGAGGGATCGCAGCTGCAAAGCTACCCACCCAATGCCCCAAATTCAAGTGTGCTGATACCTCTGACAGCGCGGCATGCTGCTGTCGTCGTATTTTATTCAACCAACCCGACTTTGTCAATGTCAAATCCATGCTCAAAGTAGAGTGCGAGGCACGAGGGATTCAAGTTCTCTTCACACCACGATTCCATTGCGAGCTGAACCCCATTGAGATGGTTTGGGGGTATGCTAAACGTCTTTACCGGTTGAATCCCGAGTCAGGTAAGCAGGAGGACCTTGAACGGAATTGAAGCTATTGACGGTGTCCCACTGTTGTTTATGCGCCGGTAAGTTGCTTCCTAGTCATTTGCATATTTATGAATGCTGACTTCTTTTAGCTTCGTTAACCGGTCTCATCGCTTCGCGGATGGGTATTTCAATAAACATCTCTCGGGACCTGAAGCTGCATGGGCTGCACGGAAATATCATGGCCATAGGACATTCCCGACTGAAGTTCTTGACCTGCTACTCAAGGCTAAGCTGTAACTCAAATATCTCTGCTTGTAGACATTATTATATTATGATCTTTGGTAAACAGTCAGCTTGAATATGAGGCTACACGTCTGAAAAATCTAGGCCCAAACAATCGACACGTTCCCTCAATCCACCATTTCGACGCGCACCCTCCCAATTAGGCAGTGGCGTTTGACGGCATGTGGCGTTCGTCGAGCATGGATGTCAACTACCTTAGCCTTTCCACCTGACGAAGTAGTTAAGACGCTTATACCTTATCCTGGCATCCAAGATTTCCTTGACCTCCCATTCGGGGACTCCGTCCTTTAGTTCGGTGGGCGGTTCGTCGTAACTGGGTCGTCCATCGAAGGGGTCGTCCTTAGCAGGTTCGAGCTTAACAACGGGGAAGACCGGGTAGAGCTTGGAGTAGCGCGGGGGGAGGTCTAGCTTGTAGGCGCCCTTGCTGACCTCTGTGAGCACCTTGAACGGTCCGAGGCACTTGTGGGAGAACTTCTCGGATGGCTGAGTCGTCCTAATGTCAGAGGCGTCCAGCCAAACCTTGTCACCAACTTGGATTTTCGGAGCGTCTGAACGTCTCCAATCATAGTACCGTTTATACTCGTTCTTGGCTTTAACGAGCGCGGCCTTTGCTTCGGAGACACTGTTCGCTATCTGATCGCGAAACTCGTTCACTGACTCCAACTCTGAGCGGGCACCCGGTTCGAAACCCATTCGGGGGAGCCGACCAGTGTCCATAATGAAAGGTACCTGTTGAGTGGAGGAGTGAGCGTGGTTGTTATAGGCAAACTCAGCGGCAGGGATAAGCTTGTCCCAGTCGTCTTGTTGGTAGTTGGTGAAGATCCGGATGTACTGCTCAAGCTCCTGGTTAACGTGTTCAGTCTGTCCGTCGGTCTGCGGGTGGTAAGCCGTGGATGTGGCAGGCTTGATACCAATTAAGCGCCAGAGTTCGCGCGTGAAGTCAGCGATGAACTGCAAACCACGATCCGAGATGTACTTCTCGGGGGTTCCGTGGTGCCTCCAGACATTCCGATAGTACAACCGGGCGGCTCCGACTGCGTCTACCGTCGTATGGCACTCAGTGAAGTGAGCGCGTTTGCCAAGAGTGTCGACAACTACCATGACCGCGTCGTACCCATGAGCCTCGGGGAGCTCGATGATGAAGTCCACCGTGATGGTCAGCTCATATAGTTACTTATATGCAAAAGATGTGGGCTGAGGCCCAGGGCACCATTGCAAAAGATGTGGGCAAGGCCTTGAGAGTCACTTATGTCACACTCTTTAATTCATTGTTTAATTATTTTAAAGCTTCCTAGGAGGGTATAGGTGATGGGATCAATGCATTCTATATATAAGAACCAATGTGGAACCATTTTTGATAGAGATCACTGAATCTGATGTTTCAGTGATCTGGCATCAATGGAATATTAATAATCATCAATTTCCTTTCCCTGTGTTATTTAATCCCTAGTACTATATAACGAATCATCGGCCTGAAGAAAAGGTGACTCAGCTTCTCATATATTATGTAATATTAGTCATATCTCTTAAATTGACTCTTTAATTGAAGAAATACATTATGCCTAGGCTGGTGCCCACATCTTTTGCAATGGTGCCCTGGGCCTCAGCCCACATCTTTTCCATAGAAAGGGCTATATAGGGTGTGATGGTGTGCCAGCGTTCGGGGGGACTTCAGTCGGATGTAGCTCTCCGTGCGGGAGCCTTCAGAGGGCCTTCGTGCGGCAGGCACAAGTCGCAGGTCACAATGTAGCGTCCGATATGGCGGGACATCTGTGGCCACCAGTAGTTGCGCGAAACCAGCTCTAGGGTCTTGAACCACCCGGCATGTCCGGCGACTCGCGTATCGTGGCAGAGCTCGATGATGCGCCTCCTTAGGTCCCTGTCTTTGGGGACTATGACCTTGCCATGGAAGTACAAGAGATCGCCCGAGACGACCCACTCGTCCGAACATGATGAGCGGGGGCCCCGAACTTGACCTCGGACCTTCAAGAGTTGCCGGGACACAAGCGCGACGGGCTCTTCTAGGTCAGGCTCACCGGATAGCGCTTCCTTGATGTCGCGGACAAGTTTGAACCCAGGCCCAGAGACAGTGACGGTCTCAAGCGCGCGAACGTGGAAAAGCTCAGGGTGCAAGAGGGTGACGTCCGAGTTGTCTTCGGAGATGCCGTGGTCAGGCCGACGGGAGAGGGCATCAGGGCGGCCCATCTGGCGACCGGGGGACGTGGTGTAGCGTGAAGTCGAACCGAGAGAGGTACAACGACCATCGGGCTTGCCGGGCGGTTGAGGTGCTGCGCCTTTCGGAAGTACTCCAAGTTCTTATGGTCAGTCCAAATCTCAACTGGGTGCGCGGCACCCTCAAGGAAATGCCGATACTCCTTGAGGGCGCGGATTATCGCGAGCATCTCCTTGTCGTGAATCTCGTAGTTGCGCTGGACATCATTTAAGCTCTTGGAATAGAACGCTACAGGGTGCCACTTCCTGTCCAGGGCGGATTGTTGTAAAAGAACCGCCCCCGTTGCATAATCCGAGCTGTCTGCTTCAAGTCGGAAAGGCCGAGAGTCGTGCGGGATCGCTAGGACGGGTTCTGAGAAGACCGTGTCCTTGATGGCTTGAAAGGCGGCGGCTTCGGCGTCCCCCCAGGTCCACTTCTGGTCTTTCTTGGTGAGCGCAAAGAGAGGCTGCGCAAGGGCCGAGAAATCCTGAATGAACCTGCGGTAGAAGTTAGCAAACCCCAGGAACTGCTGGACGTCCTTTTTATTTTCGGGCGGAGGCCAAGCGGAGACTCCGGCGACTTTAACGGGGTCCATTTCGACGTGGTTGTGAGAGATAATGACCCCCAGGTACTCGATTGACGATTTCTCGAAGTCGCACTTCTCCTTGCGAAGGTACAACTTGTGCATTCGGAGTCGCCGAAGGACCTCCCTGACGATCTCACGGTGCTTACGGAGGTCCGAATGCGTAATAAGGATGTCGTCAAGGTAGATCATAATGTCTCCTGAGAGGATGAGGTCCTGGAAAATGTCATTCATCATCGTTTGGAAAGTCATGGGGGAGTTCGTCAGGCCAAAATACATCACCAAAGGTTCGAACAACCCTCGGTTAGTCCGAAAGGCCGCCTTCCACTCGTCTCCTTCTTTAATCCGGACGTTATTGAAGCCCCAACGAACAACGAGTTTAGTGAAATAACAGGCACCCTTGAGCCTGTTGATAAGGTCATTAATCAATAGGAGGGGGTACCAGTTCTTAATCATCATTGCGTTGAGGGCGCGGTAGTCCTGGACAAACCGAAGTCCTCCGTCCTTTTTCTTGACGCAGAAGACGGGGGAAGCCATCGGGGATTTCGAAGGGCGAATACGGCCTGTGGCAAGTCCTTCCTCGATGAACGCGTCGAGTTCGCGCTGTTCAAGGGGAGAGATCGGATACACCTTGCAGTTAGCGGGTTTTGCGTCGGGGACAAGTTCGATAGCGTGGTCCCAAGCCCTTCGTTCTGGTAGTGTATCGAAGGACTCCTTGTCAAAGACGTCTTAGAACTCCTTGGCCCAGTCCGGAATCTCTGAAGGCGGGGGGGCCGAGTTACGGGCGAAGGCTTCTGCGAGGCGTTGGGACACTGTACTCCCAGCGCGGATCTCCTCGGCTGGGCGAAAAGAGGTGTAGAAGATGCGGTCGCCGTCTTCAAGATGCTCGTCGTCGTCGAGATCTGGTGAGGGACTCGGAGGGTCCGAAGTAGCTCCGAGTTCGTCGTCAACATCGTCTGGGCCGGCGATATTGATAGCGCAAACAGTGGGGAAGGCGCCCGAGAGCAAGCACAATTTGAGGAGTCGGAGGCGCCGAACCTCAGCGTGCTCGGTCCGTTCCTCGTCGCGGCAAGTGGAGCAGCTTCGGGGGCAGCGACTTATTTTCACCTCTTTCGTTTCCCAGTTGATCTTGGGGTTGTGTTTCTTGAGCCAGGAGTATCCGAGTATCAAATCCTGTTTCCCAAGGTGGGTTACAGCCAGCTGAACGCGTTCAGAATGCCCGTTGTACCGTAGGGACGAGGTCCGCGATTTGAGGAATAGATCCAGCGTCATTGGGGGTACCGTCAACGTTGTAGACCGGAATGGGTACTGAGAGATTTCAGACTAGCACATTGTTTCGGTTGACGTATTCTGTGTCAATGAAGTCCGAAGTCGCTCCGCAGTCGACCAGGCCTGAGAGGGAGAGTTTGAGCGCATTCGCAGTGGACTCAAGTTCGAGGGGGAGGTGGAGCAAGTTAACCCCAGGGGCGGCGGAGATGGTATAACTGCCAGGTAGCTTTTTCTCCCAGGTAAGTCGGTCACCCGTAGGTGTAACATTTAGGCTAATCTGCTAGCAACTGCTAGAATAGATGTAGCCTACAATCCTAGGAACTCCTGGCCTAGCAACTGCTAGCAGTTGCTGCCCTAGGTTGCTCACCTCTCCATTGCCTGCCGTTGCCTGAGCCCCCCGGCCAGACGGCAACCTGATGCTAAATAAATAAAACTGATGCATCATCCAAGCATCACCTAGATCAATTAACGCCAGCCGCCAGCGCAACCATTTCAGGCAAGCTTATTCAGCCACTACCAAGATTGCCAAAAAAGGATTCGGATTTTTATTCAGCGACTATCTCCAAGTAGACTAACCCTTTGCTCCAGTTCTTCCAGCCCCAATTCACGCTCCTCTACCATGAGCAGCTGTCGGTATGTATCCAAATCAAGCTGCAGTACCGTCTCCACTGCAGCCTTTCCTGGTTTCGTCCACTCGGCCACGAAACGTTCTGCTATCCATTTGTGCAAAGCCACCTGTCGCCTCGCATAAGCAGCCAACCCAGCCGCTACTTCCGGTACCACCTCCCGACCACACTCGACGCGTTCTTGCCACGTCCGCTGTGCCGCCCGCAAGCTTCGCAGAACGCGCTTCATCTCCTCCCGAAGTAATCGTACTTCTTCAACCCAACGGTCGGCGTCGCGCCATTGACTTGGCCCACCTTACTCGCACAGCTAAGAGCTTATCAGTAGCTTGTTCTGATTTGTTATTCGATGAAATACCTGCATGTAGCCGTGTTGGTTCGTCCGCCCCTCCAACCGTTTTCCATATCCATGACACAGCCCCGCTTGCAGAGGTAGAAGGCTCGTTCCCACCTCGCCGGGAAGCACCCACTCGTCCTAATTGCAGTCTGGACGCCGCATCGCTTTCCTCCCTCGCCTCGCACATTATCGCGGTCCTCGAGCTCCGCCAAGTCTGGGCGATATTGAGCCCCCATAAGCCGCGTCAGAGCCGCCCTCGCCTGTCGGTATTTGGTCGCTTCCCTTCGTATTTGGTCCGTTACGCGCGATATCAGTGTGCTTGATCGAGTTGATGCCCGTTGGCCGACTGAAGTGGAATTCCGATAGTGAATTATATGTGTCTTGGTGTAGAGCAGGTCGCGCATCTGAGATAACGCATCTCCACACTGAGCTTCCCGCAGTTTAGCCTCCAAGGTCGATAGAGCGGCCCGGCTTGCCCTCCCTCGTTGGGCCTCGGTCAAATCGGATGGTAGCCATAGCTTGACATCCTCAGCCTTGGTGGGAGGACGATCAGTGTCCCGACATTCTTCTTCGGCTTGTTGCAGCCCTGAGACGCCAGGCATAAAGACCTCCTGTTGGTTGCGCAGCGTCTTCAATTTCTTGAAGAAGGATACTCGAAGCTCTTCGATTTGAACCTCGCGTTCGGCACTAGGGCTCGTCGTCCCACGGACTTCGTTTTTAATGCGTCGTCTGACAAGATGTCAGTACTGGCAAGGAACAAAGGAATAAGCACATACTTAAGATCCTCCAGATGTAGTAATGCCTTGACGAAGGCCGTCGCAGTCGTTGCCCCCTCCAGAAAATCACCACGACCTTCCCGGGCTTCCTTCAGCTCTGCTCGCTTTAACTTGGCCGCAACCTGAGCTTCGGATGGTCCAGCTACGCATAGTTAGTTGAGCATAAGAATTTGAAGCGATATCGTACCATTCTTTCCTTCAGCGACGATATACGGGTTTGGTTTCGTCTTATCAGCTTGCCAGTCCTTCACTAGCTGCATCCACTCGTGTCGAACATGGGGTTCCAGGCTGCTATCGACCTCCATAAACTGCGAAATTTGTTGGTCACGCTCAGCAACTGAGATGATAAGTGTCAGACTGCGGGTCGGGCCGTACAAGAACCTCTCCTAAGAATGCGCGCCCGGAACAGAACAGACGGATAGTCGGGCCCGCGAGTACGGCGGGCGGGGTAGATCGAAACCGAAAGGGCCCATGAACTCGGTCCCTTGCCGAGGTCGGTGGTCGAAGGTTCGAATCGGGTCGTGTCAGGCCCGATGAGTCGATAACGCCTTCTTGCACGGAGTAAGGTAGTTCTTCAGACGATCTAAGCGATAGAGTACAGGGTACACTATCGCGCCTTATATACGCGGGCCCGCAAAGGGGGTGATCGGACACCCTGACCTCTACTCCTCCTCCTCGCTCCCGTTCCTGGCCGCAGAGGGGACGATCGTACGTCCCTTGCGGGCCAGGCGCTACTCCTAACCTCCTAGCACTCCTCCCCAGTCCCCTTGTGTCGAGTTGGGCTCGGCGACGGCTCGACGCGTCGTTCTCGGTCACGTGCTTCCCACGTGTGCGTTCCTCCTACTGGGGCGCATGTTCCCCGTCGTCACGTGCTGCGTGCTACGGGCCCGCGATAGCCCGACACCAGCGCCGGAGCGGACGGGCCGGGTCTTATCCGTGACAATAAGCTTGCGCGCTAAAATTTGAGCTATATTGGCGTCAATCTTGCGACTATCAAGTGCCCAAAAGAAACTCACCCTGCCCCACGTTCTTCTCAAAGTTCATGTGGTCCACTCGATCTTCAATGCTGTCGTGTCGATTCAGGATAGGCAGTCAGTTTTGCTAGCAAAACCTGGGCTACTGGTCAAGGGTGTTACTCCGCAAAACTGGGCAAGCCCAAACGGGATGCTGTGACAGGAAAATGTGACATTCAATCAATTGTGAATATCTCAATGAGTTTGATAGCTATGACTAAGCTATTACCAGATATGGAAAGGCAAATCACCATTTCTTCAGGCCGAAGACCCGGATAAACATCTAGGTAGGCTTGTGATGCAGGGCAAAGGTATACATCCTAATTGGGTTGAAATTGATGTATCTTGACAGAGCCATCAAAAGCACTGATGTCAATCAAAAATCGTTCCACATCAATTACTTTATCTAGATGCCATCCATTCCATCATTAATATCATGATCTAACACCTAAATATGAATAAAATAAGTTTTCAAAAAGTGTGACATTTGTGACCCTTGGGCAGTCCCCCAGGTTTTGTGAGTAACACCCTTGACCAGTAGCCCAGATTTTGCTAGCAATTCTGAGTGAATGAGCTGGTCGATTGCCTTGACCCATCTCCTTCGTCACAAAACTGCTCGGGTTCAAGATGGACCAAGTCCGCTCGATAGCTTCGCCATCTGTACGACCGACGCCCACCGTGTAGGACAGCGAATTTGTGACTTGGCAACTCTCTTCGTGTGCTGCTGCATGCCAGACCGGAAGGGCGAAATCGATGTTGAAGGCATCTAGGTCAGGCGGGATATTGGAATTTGCAAGGATGTTGACAACTTCGCTCACGCAATCGTTGCTTCCATTGACACGCGATGTCGTACGACACTACCAAACACTTGACTCGAGTGTCGTTCAGGGCATGCATAAAGATGTAATCCATATTCGCATAACTATCATCTTAATTAGGCCATATATCATCAATTCTAGCGTGGACCTGCTTACCGTTCACCCTTCTGCAGATCGCCCAGCCCCCAGCGCGAAGAACACCGTGCCTGGCGCATACACATCCGCCCACGCCAGATACTCAAAGGCCTGTCGTCAAACGAGTTTCTTTTTGCATCAAGGCCGCGAAAGCAATACAGGTACTGATCTCAGAAGGAATGAGACAACGATGAAGGCAATCGGCAGACGACTCACATCTTCTTCGGCGACATAATCTCGGAGATGTTCTCGGTAAGGTTCGTCGTCTACAAAGTAGCCCCAACCCGATCCAAGAGAAGGATCCTGCCGTTCGTTTGCTCGAATGCGGTTTTTTAAGCGAAAATTTGTGTCCAGTGCCAGCATCAAACTGTAGAGAAATCTAGCCATCGTGTTAATAAGATTGTTCCACAGTTGAGTGATTCACATACTCGTCGTTTGGCCCACAATTCTCCCATCCTTCAGGAAGATTGACACCAGGGCGAGGACAAGCCCAGCAGCAAACAGCCAGTCGGCCAGGCTCCATTGGTTCTACGACCCCCCCGGCCTGGGAGTTCCATGGTTTCTTTTCGTGGCCGACACCCGCCCGCTTCAGACAGAAAAGAAAGGCATACTGTCTGGCCATTCGACTGAAAGATCTGTATCGATCCTATATCAGGTCAGCACGGTTTGGAGTGCGAGAGCGTAAGGACCCACTGGAACCTTGCCTAGCTTGGTGGGATCAGTCAGCCGCTCCAGTGTTCCCACAAAGTCGTTGGCGCTGACGTTGCCAACGACATTGAGCGTTCGGAAAAGATCTAGCGCTCGAAAGGTTGCACAGGTGCCGAGCTCGCTGACGGTGGCGGGATACCAGCGATTGGCCATAAGTTTGCGCGACCAAGTCGTACTGCAACGAGTTTGAGCATCCATACAATCTGAAAGTTATTGTGTGTTAGACCCTGTGCAAGTAATCGAACGAAAAGTCTTGCCTGACATCCAATGTAAAAACCCCGGTGGTGTCGATGACCACAAGAGCTTGAGGCGGTCAGGGAAGTGAGCAGGGGCCCCCTTGATGGCCGAGCTGGTAGGTCATTCGTAAACTCTGTGGCGACTCGTCCTTCAAATGGAGTCCATGCAACGCGACTGCTTCAAAAAGGCTGCCATTCCATTCCTAAACAAGACTCTTCAATAAGAAAGAACAATAAGAGGAGCTGGTTACTCACCTTGACGACATGCAAGGGGTGGAGCACCTCCTGCTCCGTCAAACATGAGTGGCATTGCAAAAAAAGACCACATTCTCGACATCGAAAGAAGCGTGTCGATGGACAGTCGTTATTGAGAGGTGTTTCACAGAAATGGCAGGCTGGTGCGATGAGCTCTGGCCCAAGACCGTCATGCCGCAGCAGATTGTCGAGGAATAAGTGCGAAACGCGGCGCCAGACCTTCATAGGCTCGTCCTGGTCAACAGTCAGATCTCGCCTGGAAGAAGAAAACGAGTCGTCTTACCGAGCTCTCATATCGTGCCCGTTTGTGGCCCGCCACTTCATCCTCCCCAATGATGTGCTCGTGGACGACCTGCTCTTCGAAGTCCTCGGAGGAGGTAATCGTGTTGGCTACAGCCGTCAATTCCTCCCCGGCAAGCGGCTCTGGGGGAAGGAACTGGGCATATTCGTCCATATCGCAGCAAGCGTCTTCAAGGCGCGCGCGCTTTTGGGGAGCGACATTGGAGATGGTGACAAGGGTAGCATCGGGGGGCGAGATGGTAGTTAAAGTCGGCGGACGGATTGGGCCCCGCGTCGTGGTAGACAAAGGTCGCTGGGTTCCTTTTTTTGCGGCCCATGAGACGACAGAAGAAAAAGAATATGGCAACTCACTCCGACCAGACTACTCCTGGAACGCAAGCGACTAACAAGCGACTGTGGCTCGCTCAGTGTTGTTCGCTGGCACATTGCTGGCTGAGCGTGGTTGCCAAGAGGCGAAACGTGTCAGGCAACGATCAATATCACTAACGACATAATTCTTGGCTAATTCTCGGTGTCATTCGTTGCAACAGCAGCCCCCAGCCCCTTCTCCTCCGACTGTGTTGGGGTCTTTGGCCCAGAAGAACTATGAGTGGTCAGAGGCCCTCTACAGTAGCTAGGTGAGCAACTGTACTTCCTAGTCCATTGGCAAGCTATGTCATATGAAACAGGGATACGACCGCCTAACTGGAGGATCACTGCGTAATCTATATTACTGTAGATCTCCCCGCATGCCAGCCCGACTTCTCCTATTCGCTCGCTCAAGAACGCTGAAAAAGCACCAGGACTACGTTGCGTACCGTGTTCGCGACTGTCGTCTTGTTGACCGCGTTCACGAGTTTCGTCTTGCGAATTCATCGGTGTCAAAAGGCTTCCAGTTCCAGTGGGAGGCAAAACCCGCTGCTTTTAATGGTTCAGTGGAAGTATCCGATAACATTTACAAATTGTCATGGGTCGGTACTCAACACCGGATGATCTACAATACTCAACACCGGATGATCTACAACTTGGCGCGGATGGCCGCGAAAGTTCGGCCTTTCCGGCCTACATGGAAGGTCCATCTGATTTCGATGCCCTCGCGGTTTAGGACGAATGTTGGTTGGGTTGGTGGACGTTGCGTCTTTGGACGATAGGCCGCCGTGGATTTTGGGTTGCCTGTGGTTGCCCGCGGCCAGGGAGGAAGAAGAGGCGGGGGTGCTGCTTGTGGCATCAGTTAGACCAAGTTTGACATAAGATAAGACTGGAACGAACATGAGTCCATGAAGAAATGCTTGCTGGTGTGACGCGTGTGGTCACCGCATGCTTTTATCAAGCGCGTAGCCAGCTTGATTGATTTTGAGCCCTCATGTCAACCCCCACTTTGTCGCTGTCCAAGGGACGAACGGCGGAAAAGCCATTCACGGAAGCCCACATCGAGCAGCTCCTATCTCGTGGTGAGTAGAATCCATTCGTTGGGATTAGTTTGTACTCACACATCTCTCTCTGCCAGCGCCGAAGAGGTCTTACGAGTCAGACGATGAGATAGAGTTTGTGGAGCATAAAGGTGCGCACCTGATTACTGCTTTCACGCGACGTGATTCCCCACCAGCTGCACCCTCCGAAAAACAAGCACGCTGTCAGGGGAACCTCCCTTTCAGCCCGGAATCGCCCTGATTCCGACTCCGGTGATCGCATCACCGCCATCAATCGCATCACCGCCTCCGCCTGGCGATCCCCCTGGGACCTGGCCTGCGACATGGCGCAGGCATACTGCATGGAGCAACGATCAATCTTGGCGCGTCAAGAGCGCAGTATATAGTTCAGCTACCTAGCAGGCGGACCCTTAGAGTTTCTTCTCTTTGGATCCTCCCCTGCTAGGACCTTGACCTCAGGCCTCCAGGGTTGCCCTTACAGCAGAAGAAACTCTCTACGGGATCAACCGGACAAGATTGCCAGGTTCGGCGCTGACTCAGGCTCAGAGTCCGAGCCCACTCCGCCCTCGCCACCGCCCCTGCCACTTGTCCCCTCCTCCTCTGTCACCCCTGTCATCCCCGCACCTGTCATGCCTTCCGGAGCTACTCCTGACGCTGGCACTCGGCTGGATGCACTTGAGGCGAAAATCGACCGCCTAACTGAGGCTCTTGCTCTTCTTACCACCCAGGCTTCCGCTGCCGCTGCCGCCGCTAATACTGCTGGCGGACCCCAAACAACACCACCTCCGGAGACGTCGATTCCGACTTCGACTCCGGTCCAGGGCGACTCCGAAGCCCTCTTTGGCGACGTCGACCTCGCCTCAAAATTGGTCCTGCGACCAAACCCACCGTTTGTCTTCAACGGCGACCGGAAACGCGGCCGCGCGTTCCTATACGCGGTCAAAACCCTACGCGACTCGCCCCCGAGGCCTTCGTGGTCGGAGAGAGGCGCGAGGAAAAAGGCCGTCCGGTACGCCATGTCGTACATGGCAGAAGGACCTGCTCAGCAATGGGCAGAGCGCCACGGAAACAAAGTCCCGTTTCCGTTTCCGTCCTGGGGCTCGTTTGTCTCCGAGTTTCGACTCCGGTTCGTCGAGGAGAACGAGCAAGACCATGCCCTCTCCAAACTGGAGACTTCCGCCTATCACATGGGTACGCGGGACGTCTACCAGTACACTGACGACTTCGAGGACCTGATGGACCTTGCCGGATTTGAAGACGCACTGGTCAAGGTGACCAAGTTCCGCCACGGACTTGACCCCTTGATCAACAATGGAATCACGTTGATAAGCCGCAGTCTGGGACAGACCAGGAAACGACTATTTTTGTCGATTTTGTTGCTCAGCGCACGTCTCAGAGTTGACATGAGTCCCGAATGGTCAACTAGGGAGTTACCTGCACAAGAACATATCAAAATCCAGTCAAATCCTATCAAATCGCTCATAGTGATTCCAAAGTCTTGACTAGGAAAAGTTCGCAGAGCCCGCTTCTCGCTAGAATCCATCCAATTCTATGCAAAATACCCAAAGGGAGTGTATTCTAAAAGGCATATTCGGTTTGGCGCTCAGTGGAGACTCGAAATCGACAACTCCTAGACTAGGGCCACCCCTATCTCTGTTGGTATCGACGACTGACATCATTGGAACGTGGTTTCGGATCATGCTGGAGGATCGGGAGTGCCAAGGGACGGTTAAACGGTGAAAAACCTACTCAATTGATTGGGGCCTGGACCTGTGATCAACGGCGACTCTAAAACACTGTCGAGGAACTGATCATCTGAACATTGGAAATGCGCCAGGAGAGTTGGGACAACTACCGCTGAGGCCATACGCACAAGATACGAGTTATGGGTGTCAATCGAAAGCTGGGAAGCAGAGCTATCCACTTATCCTACTCAAGATCGAGGGATTCTTCACAAGCAAAACTAGATGGTCGCGAACACGGAAGATTTACACAGGTCATTGACTCCAACACACGCGATACCAGTCATCTGGACCTGGATTTTCGACTCCGGGTCGTATGGCGAAACGATACCTATACAATTATGCACATGGACGACTTTTCTTACTCGAGATTTTCCCTGATTCTATCAATTTCTGTTTAGTATTTATACCTCTGTTTTGTATTTGGCAGGTTCACGGATTGCCCCGCTCTACTAGGTGCATCTGGGGATCTAGCTCGTCAATTTATCTTGCTAGCTCTTTCGAAATAGTATCATCGCGTCGAAGGATTATTGGTTGAGGGTTTCGGTTGCCGTTTAAAAGAGAGTTCCGGTTGCTGTTTATTGGGTTTCGGTTGCTGGTCGAGAGTTTAAGGCAGTTAGTTCCTGACTCGAGACAACTCAGAGGGTTTAAGGCAGTTAGTCCTGATCCAACGAGTATAAACTCTCCGGGCATCGTATTGGCGCTTCTCTATTGCTGAGTTTTCGTCGATAGTACGCTTTGGGGCACAACAAATCAACGTTTTTCGCAAGAAACTCGTATCAACCCTACAACCTTACACATTTGTGCCAAGGCTCTGTTCACAGGGGTCTGTTCTCGCACAAGGAGTCGACGATATTTTTGGTTTTGTGACTTTCCCTACTCGACATTATACAACTTTCTCTCTATCTCAAGTGGAGTTTTGGTTGTTTTTGTTAGTTTGGTTAGTTAGAGGCTCATTTGCTTTGTCCCCACTCCGCACTCATCATCTGGAGCCCACCGCGAGGGGTGATCGAGTATTGCTGAAACTTGGTTTCGTGCAATTTGTGACAAGCAAGAAGAAAAGCAAGCGCCCACACGCTTGGATCGAACGTCAAAATACCACCAAAAGGGAAACAGCGAGATCTAACTGATTCCCAACCGAACGATTTTCCGAATCTACTACCGGAGTTGGAGAACTGAGACCGGCACCGTTATTCGTACCAAAACTATCTGCGAACGCGAAACCGAGGACTACCCGTAACTCGCAAGGCGATCGAAATCGGACAATCCCGACAAAATCGACAAAATCTCAAGCATCTTCGTCGAAAAGACCGACTCAAGCATCAACACAAAAGCGCGTTCAATCGAAATCTACAACAAAGCGCAAAACCAACACAAACTCAGCGACTGTCGAAGAAGAACAACAATCTCCGACACCATCTTCGCCTCTAACCGACTTATCAGAGAGCGAAATCAACACGAATCGGCTTAACGAACCTCCGATTCAACAAAACAACGAAAACATGGACGATGGAAATGGTGGAAATGGCGGGAACGGAGGTGGCGCGGGTGGCGCAGGTGGAAACGGAGGTGGTGGAGGAAGAAACGCTCAAGGAGGAGCAGCGGTGCGGTTCAAGGTGCCTGAAACATGGGATTCTGGTCGTCCTAGCTTCGATGGAAAGACTCCTGCCAAGTTGGAGAAGTTCCTAGAGGAGTGCGAGCGAATCATCGTGCAGGGAGGCATCGACAACGACGCGGAAAAGAAGGAGACGGTGCTGAGGTATCTCGATACTAAGCATGTGAAGGAAGCGTGGCGGAATCTGACAGCGTTTGCTGGAGGAGACTTCGATGGGTGGAAGGCGGAGATACTGAAGATGTATCCAGAGTTGGAGGAGGTCAACGAAGGATCGAGGAGACACTTGAAGGAAATTTGCGCCGAGGCACGGGGTGCTAGTCGTGAAGATCTGGGTCTAGTGATTCGATTTTGTGCATTCTTTTTGGCAGAATCCGAAAAACTCCTCAGACCACCATCGCAAATCACCAACAAAGAGTTGGTATCGTCGATTCTTGGTACGCTCAGCGATGATTTTGCTTCGGCAGTCGAAGTTGTGTTGAACCAACCGAATGTGGCAAATATCTTGGGTCCGAACGCGAATGCGGGAAACCAAAACGCGGGAAATACTCGAAGAGGCGATAAGTGGAACTACAAGGACGTCTTGAAGGTGGTGGAATGGTTGGCGAACAATTGGTCTGGACGGGAGGCAGATGCGATGATGAGAAACGACTCGAAACCCTC